AGGCCTGCCTGCAGCGGCAGCCTGCACCAGTGGAGGTGAGTGAGGGAGGGAAGGGAGGAGGGAGGGAGGGAGCAGGGGCTGGGGTGCCCCAGTGGCACCTTCCCCTGCTCTGCAGGCTCTGCCCTCCCTCCCCAGCCCTCTCCTGCTGCCCAGGGAGAGGAGTTACTGAAAGTGCCGCCCCAACACCCACTCCCTCAAAACTCCCAAGCCAGAAGCCTTCCCCCCCACCCAAGAAAAAAGCCCTGGAGAAACTCAGAGCCTGGTTGTTCCGGCCCTTCACAGCCTCCCATCAAGTCGGGACTGGCCCCAGCACCGGCTTCTAAAAGAAATCTGCACCATCAGGCTTTTTGGGGAAGGGGAGAAAGCCAGGAGTGAAGCACGTGGAGCCTGGCTCACTGGCCAAACTGTGGGGGAAGAGAGGGGGGTGTCACGCACAGCAGTGCCCAGCTGGACACATCTGGCTGAAAGTCATCTGCCAGAGCGGCGCGAAAAAAGGAAGAGAACGGCACGGGAAAGCCTGGGGAGGAAAAGCCGCCTCGCTGGGATCTGCTGTCTGTGGGAGAGGCCTTCCTGCATCTTCCCTGAAGCATCTGGCTGTGGCTAGCACGGGTGACAAGAGCGAGTTGCAGTGTGGGGCGGCTCCAGTTATGGCAAGTCCGAGGGCTTCTTTTAAAAAGAGAGAATTATCGTCGTAGGTCTGGAGCTCCCTGGGGGAAAGACAGTCTCCCTGCCTGCTGGGAGCACGTTGCACAACAGGGTCCTGATCTTCATTGGGCCAGGCTGCCAGCTGTGGCTGGACTGAAACTGCTAGATCTCAAGAGAGAGAGGAAGCAGCTAGTTTGAAGCGAATGTGACACAGACACTCAAAAGGAAATCCACCCCCCCCCAAAAAAAAAAAGCCCTCCTTGCTTTCTTGCAAGTTGCTGGATGAAAGTAAGCCAGGTCCCATGTGTTGTTGCCTAGGCCGGGAAAGGGCGCATAGGCAGGGTGGCCGAACTTCGTACGCCATGGTAGCATGTCTCTCCTCAGCTCTTGATGTGATTTGTCTCTTGTGTGTTTCAGGTTGCTGTGGTAGGGCGGGCGGGTTATTGCTGGCTTCCCAGAAGCATGTGTCTGCCTGCATTGGGTTAATCCTCCAGAAGCAGGTGAGCCACTGACTAACGCACATTGTGCTGTTAGCGATTCCACTGTGCGTGTGACAGCGGCTAACCTGCTTTTCGGACATCGCTATATCTACTCCATCACCCCGCCCCAGGAAGTGGCAATGCTAGACCCTGGGAATGGCTCCTAGTTCCCAACAAAACTTTACGGAGCTTGGCAACAGCCCCTGTTAAGTTCGTGGACCTGCGCTTTTTTGGAATCTTCTGAAGAGTTCGTAGGAAGCTTGAACGCCTTTTTTTCCCTGGGGATACATGAAAGACTTGCAGCAAGAAGGAAAAAACAACTGCCTTTGTTAAAATAAGTTAATGGGATGTAATCGATGCATGCATGTGCCATTTGGACCACCTGTACTCGTGTTTAGCATCGTGTTTAGTGAGCAATGTCTTGGTGCAGGAGCATTAAGGGACTTAATGCTTGTGGGCCCTACTGCAGAAAGGATCCAGGAAGTCGTGAGCAACTTGCCCTGAGCTAGGGGTGCCAAGCCAAATGCAAAGGATTCATGGGAAGGTTGCAAATGGAAGGACATGCTGATGAAAATGAGCTCCATCCCTCCCCTTTATCCCACCCTGTCCTTTCCAAAAAGTAATGGTAATAGACATTGAGCCAAATTAGAGAGAAGCTCTTTATCCAGCCAGTGAAGGCTTGGTACCCAGTCAATGACTAACTGAACTACTGTCAAGGGTGTGTTAATAGAAAAAACTATGCATGGCATTGCCCTGGGTGAGTCACCTTAAAGACAGACTCTAATCTCTTATAAGTAAAGCAGAAACTGATTTCACCTCCCAACTGTTTTTCTCTCTCTTTTCTCCTGGTAAATGTTGCTATTTGTCTCTCAAAAAGAGGGCTCTAATTTCCCCAGATTGATCCTGCCTAGGAAACTCTCTCATTCATTTCTCTAGCAAACTGTGATGTCACATGTACCGTTATGACTTCATGGCTTGCAAAGAGCTCAATGCTGTGGGGGGGGCAGGGGGAGGAGGTGCTTTTTCCAGATTATTTGTGGTTGCTTTAACCAGCTGTGAAAATAGAGGAAGTGACCAAGCAAATTTGCTTTTACCATAAAAAAAATTTTCTTTCACTTTTGCTCCAGCTTATGATCTAGGGAGACTGAAGAGTTTGCTCTTCGGGCGTGTGCAGTTTTATCTCTAGGTCACTTTGTGAATCCAAGCCAAGTTAGAAATATCAGGCATCCTCCAAGAGTGGTTGGGAGGCTTCTGTTTGCTGCTCCCTGTGAACCTTTTTTTTTTTTTTTACTTCTAAAACTGGACCCTGTGGAAGACTTGGGATTTCTTCTTATGAAAGGCGCAAGAAAAAAAGGGCACAAGTTCATATAAAGTCAGTATCAAAAGGAAGTTTCAAGTCACTAAACTACATGGGTTCCTCATACAGCTACAAATCAAATAAAGCAATAAATTGATTTACAGAGAAAATGTCTAGTCACCTAAGAGGCCTGGTCTTAGTAAATGTTTTTTGCAGGGGGGCCTGTCTGCTCTTCAGAGGAAAACAACCACTTCTGTTCCCTGATCAGCATAAGCAGGTCCAGTTAGCTGCCCTATCTAAACTCTGGAGCTTGAGAAGGAAGAAAGCAGTTTGATGATGGCTGGTGGTCACAGCTATGGCTGACTCTTCTGAAATATTAAAAATAGGGTCTAAAAGGGTAGAGAAAGGGAGTCTTCTCTCTCTTCCCCTCCCCTTTTTACCTTCACAATCTCCACAATCTGCTTTCTTGGCAGAGATGCCAAGATGTGCATAGACCATAGAACAGGGGTCAACAACCCACAGCCTGCAGATTGAATCGAGCTCACCAAGAGGTTGGATCTGGCCTGGCATTGTACAGGAGATGGGACAGCATGTAGTTTTGCTGTGCCACTATTCCTCTGCTGCTCTTTCATGCCTGAGCTTACTCTTTTAGCAGAGGGGCTGGGGATCTGCAGTGAGAGTCAGCATGGGTGCTGTGGAAGGTGGAGATCTGCAGCCCACAGCAGAGGACTGGGTTTCAGGCTCTCCCACTTGTAGTAACAAGATTACTGACCCCTGCCATAGAGAGCTAACTGTATTTTCTTATATACAACATGCCCTACAGTAAGAGACTGTGCTTTTATAAAGGCAGAATGAAGAAAACAAATAGATAAATCTTTCTTTGAAAATACTGGGAAGCAGCATCAAGTAACAAGTAGCAGCAGCTAGGGAGCCCAGCATGCTTGTGCTGTTCCCTGTAGAGCTTGGACAGTGTTACTTTAACAACCCCCTCCCCAAGCCCAGCAGAAGCTTAAGATACAGGAACTGCTATTACTGTATTTTCTTGCTTATAATGCATACCCCGGTTTCCAGCAGCTGATTTTTTTTTTTTTTTGGATGAAAAATGTGTGCTGTATGTGGAAAAAATATGGTACTCACTCCTAAGGATTGCCCTCCAGGAAGAGACTGTGGTGTGACATAGTAGGAGGGTGTAGCCAAGGGGCTCTTCTGTTTGGAGAACTGACATACCGAATCTGTGACCAAACAGAGGCCAGTTTCTGGGGCCCTCTCTACTCTAAGCACTCACTCTTTATCCCACCACCTGTCTCTGGTCCATGAAATTAGAGCTGGGCTGCTGGTAGGGAAACGGTGGGAAATTTGAAGGAAAATGATAGTGTAGGCAGGAGCCCATGGATCTTCACCATGGTAACAGTCACTGTAAAAAGACCTCAAAATTTGGTTCCAGTAGGGAAGCCTCTTAAGCCTGCAGCGGACACTGACAGTTATGCAATATAATGCACGAGTACGGAGTCTAGCATGCACCAGAGTTAATTGTTCAGGAGGAATCTTCATAATAAGTGTATCACAACCCAATATTCACAGGTTACAAGATCTCATGGTCAAAATCTTGTGTTTTTTAAACCCCTCCTACCCAGAAGTGGCTTTTCTTGTAATATTAAAGATGTGACAATACCATCTCTTTACTCCCTGTAAAAAAAAAAAAGAAGAAAGTTACAAAGGTATAACACCAAGCCACACTACACCCTTCTACCTGTGTAATACCCTAGGCAATTTTTGTAAGATAAATAGAGTTTGGAGCAACAGGGCCCTTTCATTTGTATTTTTTAGAAGAAGTGCTTACAGCTGAGCTTCTGTTTCCAGGTTCTTGCAATGCTATTAGACTCACTTGCTACACAGTCATCTGAACCTCTCAATAAATATCACAACATACTTGTGCATACATTCAGTTTTACGTTGCCTACGTGGATGCTCATGCCTTAAGCAAAGCCATCTGCAAGGCATGTTTATGTTATCCCAAGACAGCTGAAAGTGAAGACCACTTTTTACTACTTTTTACTGTCACTCTGATCTACAGTATATATCATAACCTCTTATGTTATTTCTGCCTTTACTTTCACTGCCTCAACAGCAGTAGAACGTCCCCTGAATTCAATAGGAAGGTGGAATGGACCAGCTGGAGTACAGTGCGCCTGGACAACACAGGTATGGAAAGATAATAAATCAAGCTCAGATGTTACCAGTTTGCTCCACAGAGTTGTTTCAAATTGCTGCAGGAAAGCTCTCAACTTTAAAGTCTCACCCAGCCTCCCTCCTCCCTCCCCCCAAATTACAAAGGCTTGTTCAAGCCGCTCAGAAAGACGCTTGCTGTGTGAGGGAACACACCCTGTTAGATGGCATTAGTCATTTTTATGGTGTGTGCATGTGTGTGGGTACACAAATTACATTTTAACAGCTGTAATTAAACTGATTCTGTAATCTGGCATTCCCATTTATGAGAAGAACATTTACATGTAAACTGAAGTGGGCCCTGAAAACTCTAGATGAAAAACTGTACAGTGTGTTGTACAGTCAAAGAAGTGTCTCTCTGAGTAGTGGACAATTCTGAAACAAAGTCCACCCAAGAGAAAAACCTTCAGAAATTCTGAAGGTAAAGCTACATAAAGGAGGCTGGCAGACTTGGAGTTTACCCACAAATGCTAGGAAATTTGCATTGCACATGGCAATTGCAAGTGACACATTTCTTGGATGTTGCTGGAGAGGGAAGCCGGCATGTTAAACATAGAAAGGTGAATTATCAATCGCTTAAGAGAGAGTCTTGCTTTTCCATAAAGACAAGCCTGGGGCTTATATAATAAGTCTTAAAAATATATCTGCTGGCAGGAGGTTCCATTGAGAAAAAAAACTCACTTAGCCGTAAACAACCAAGAAAGTCTACCAGACTCCTTTAATGCAGAGAAGAAACCACTAGTGGGAGAGGGTAGAAATCATGAAAGCAAGGTAGCATCTTTTCTTTTTACAAATGATGAAGGAATAGTCATAAAAAAGAAAATTATGATGGAAGTAGATAGTATGCTTTGACCCCTGTACCACACCCTCCTCCTGACTCAATTATATTTCATTGCCTGGCTCCAGTGACACACCCTTACCAGGTTTTGGGTCCCCAGGAGCAATATAGAGCATTTGTACATTGCTTGCGGCCAGCGAGTGCATTTTCTTGTAGTCACTCTCTCCTTGCATTATGTAACCGATGCCAGTTCCTGAAGAAATGTGCTCTTTAGATAGGACATGCAAAACCCCTGGGTTTGGGAGTTGAACTACTATTTAAAAGCTCCGTTTGTCAGAAACAATCTCAAAAAGTGTGTTGTATATTGTTGTTATTGTGCTGTTCACCTGAGAGAAACCTCAAGGCCTAAATACTTGTTTGAGAGAGAAAACTAACAAATCTCAGTTGAGTAGGGCAATGCAAGCACTATGGCTGGGATAATAACTGAATTTGAGTAGGGCAATGCAAGCACTATGGCTGGGGTAATAACAGAACAAAAATAGTAGATTTTAGACATTTTTTTCTTTAAGCTTGTGCTGCAGTGGGGATGGGTGGGTACCTTAGATCAGCATCAAGTTTCTGATTTTAATCCATCGTGGAAATGAAGTAGTTGCCTACCAGTGACTGTCCATCTTCCTAGATATTATAGCAGCTCCCCACGCAGTAGAATAGTTTATAAATGGTGAAGAATGCTACCTGCTATTTCTCTGTTCTCTCCTTGATGGTTCACCTTCAGTTTTTAAGCCTGCTTATGGGTTGTTTCCTCTTTTGTAACTGGTGCATGGAGAGTTGTTGAGAAGCAAGTCTTGGCATTGCATCTAGTAAGAGTGGTGAAGGAGGACATGCTTCTCAGTGAATGCATGGCATGCCAGTTCACTGACTGTGGAAGAAAAATTATGGTAGTGATAAGACGCCTGAAATTCTCCCTATGGCTGTGATTAATCTATCCAGAAATTTTCCATTTTGGTAGAGTCTGTGGGTGCCTTAAGCATCATAGAAATCAGAGGCTAAATTATAGATCGCTGCCCTGTTTCGATAACCCTGTTCACGTGTTCTTATTTTAGTCGACTATAAGAATTTATATTCCTCCACTGGAGTGAGCAGACTGATCCCAGTACATGACAGGACTCCTATAATCACAAGGACATGAAGAATCCCGCTGCAGTCTTTATCTCCCCTAAAAAAAGTAGTCATGGCCTTGGAACAAATTCATTCCGGACTTTTGTGGCAATCTTCTAGGCCTTTTCAATAACACTGTCTCCATGGGATGTGTTGGGTGGTAGCTGAATGTTGTAGCCAGCTAACACAGGGGTAACTTTGGGGCTCCAGCTCACTGGCTTGATGCAAAGGCTTGGAGCACGGGGGTGCATCAGCTCCAGGGGTGAGTATGGGTTCTTCAAATGCTTCTTGCCAGCTGCTTCCAGGTAACATTGGCATCCACCATAAGGCCCCCTGTCTGTCACCTAGGAGAAACACATTACACATGCTCCAGCTGAACTGGCCTTGGGTGGATCAGAGAAGAGGAAAATAGCTGATAAGCATGTCTCATGTTCTCATATGTTCGGAGGAAAGCTTATCAAAATGCATTGATTTCTTGGCTTCCTAGAATAGCCTGATGACTAGGATACACTGTGTTTACAACTGGCATGGCTAGACCGACCTGACTCATAGGGCGGACGAAGGTGTGAGAGCTGGCATGAAGGATGTAAACCCACAGCAGATGCCTTGGGTATCTCCCCCTCCCCCTTCTGATACCCTCATCCATTGTCCACGCTAGGAAATAGCACATGTTCTGCTTGGGTGTCTGTTTCCTTGTGTAACTCATTACACTTTAATAATGTCTTTGCTGAGCTCAGGAAACAGCAACCCAACTTCAGTATTTTTGCCACTTCTAATTCAGTTGAAGGTGCGTACCATCAGCAGAGGGGGTATGTCTGGCTTATACATAGAGTGACCATATAAGACCATTGGAAATCTGGAACACTTCCCGCCCCCCCACCCCCAGTCATTGGCACTGCTGCAGGCAGAGATGGAGCCGCATGGTGCGCCAGGCAGGCAGGCAGCACTGCTGCCTGCCTGCATGGCACACTAAGTTGCTTTGCCTCCCTGCATGCCATGCCCCTGCCATTCTGGGACTCTTGTTTTAATTTTCACCCACTGACTGAGACCAGCCTTCAAAATCTGGGAGTGTCCTAGCCAAACCAGAATGTATGGTCACCCTACTTGTACAAACCAACTGCAACACATACTTGCATGAGGGGGAAAGTACAGAACTCTAGAGAAAGAAGGCTGGAAGGGACCTCAGGAGAACATGAAGTCCAGTCCTGTGCTCAAGGCAGGACCATCCCCATCTAAAACTTACCAGGCAAGTGTTTGTGAAACCAGCACTTAAATTTCTAATGGCTTAAGCATCTCCGATTTAGTTATTCTACAAAGGTGTACCTCTACCTTGCCTTCTTCCAATTACAGAGATCCTACCACTTTCTAGGAAAATCTGTGTCCAGTGCTTAACGACCCCCATAGCTAGAACTGCCTTCCTAATATCTGACTCAAATCTCCCCTATCATGGTCTTAAATTGCAACAACTTTCCATATACCCCATGGGCAGAGAGAATAATTGATCACCAGTCTCATGGAAACCGTTCTTTGAATATTTGGAGACTTAAATCCCTTCTCCCCACCCCTTTCCAATCACTCTTCTATACTAAATAGTTGCTATGCTTCCAGTCTTTCTTCATAGATCCCATCCCCTTTCTCTTGCACTCTATTTTGCCCATAAGCACCAAGTCCTCAGGCACTCCCAGCAGCCCTCCTGATACAGCTGAGATGCAAGAGTGATGCTATTGATAGGAAGCAGACAAATGGAGTCCCTGAAGACATGATTCAGGCTAGTGTTGACCTTCACAATAATCCAATATTGTGTAACATTCGTTTTTCCTTCTGCGCTTTAAAATACAAGGATTTTTCTTACTCCTTTATTCCACGTTCCTCTTTATAGACTCCTGGGCTCTATTAAAGTAACCTGTTAAATCACATCGATTAATGTTTGGGATCGGGATGCCATCACCTTTTTGCTTAGATATGACACAGTTTTATTTGTCCGTGAGTGAAGTTTGGCTTTGCAGCTGGTGTAGCTTTCTTTGCCTTTGTGGGAAAATTCAGCTCTTCCTCCTTTTCAGAGGTGAAAAGGCTATACCGAAGGCAGTGCTCCTGCTCACATTCCAGCCCCTCCAGAACCCCTCCTAGAAGCCACCGGGCTGCCTACATACAGAGAGGCGTGTTCTCCCTCAATGCACCAGTCAGCTTTCCTAGCTTCCTAGTTGCTCTATTAGTGGAAAATTGGGCTGAATGGCCCACATCAGTTCTGGGAAACTCGTGCCAGAATGGAGCGGGTGCAGTTGGATTCTCTCTCAGGGAAGCAGAGATAGCGCTGGCGCTCTCTTGGCACAGGCAGGCGGGCTGGCACAGCACTGCAGAATTTACTCCTCCTTTCACCTCATCCTTAAACACAGATGGCAGATTTGAATGCACGCTGCCAGGGCTGACATCCGTATGCCTCAGTCCATAGCTGCTCAGCTCCCGACTTCAGCTTTTAAAATCCTCTCACTTTCCCTTTATTGCCTGTCTGTCCAACTGGCTACTTACATGCTACTAAAAAAAAAAAAAGAGCATCCCCTGGGGCTCATGCTTCCCTAAGCTATGAAGACATCTTGCCTTTTGCTAAAGAGATGATTTATAATAAGGAAATAGGGGAATGAGGTCTGAGAGGAGTTGGTTTGGCATCAAGGCAAACTAGTCACCAGCCATGGGGGCCCTGTCATGTAATGATAGGGGAGGGGGGAAAGTGCTGGAAAAACAAGTAATTTTGTAATTCGACTTTTTTCTTTTCAGTAACACTCACTAACAAGGTATCTGGCATAGCTGAACACTCAAGTCATCAAGGTTTTATGCTATCCACACTATGAGGTACTACCCTCCCACCCCCACTGAGGAATCCAAAGCATAGCCCTCTTCCTTTTGCTGCAGCATAGCAGACAGGATGAGGAGGACAGCCCACATCCACACATACCTCTAAGTCCACCAACCTACCCTTTCTCTTTTCTGCCACTCTCCAATATGTGCTGCATGCTTTATTTAAATAAAGTGGTTTCTTAATCTCATAGCAGCGAGTAATTTCTTCCTGCTGTGTTGCGGTGGCCTAGAAAAAGGACAGCACAATCTCCACTGTAGCAAGAAGGCATCTCCCAGGGCATGAAATTTTAATTCGGAACAATCAGGCAGCCTTGAAATGGGAATGGCAAGCAGCAGAAGTCAAATCATCAATAAAATATTCAGTGGCAGAAGTGTAGTATTGACACAGCCTTTCGAGCACGTAAAAAGCTGAAAGGCAGAGCGCTGTTTGGCTAGTTAGCATAAGGGCGCCGGCTGTTCCGTCTTGTTAGGTTACGTGCCCACAAGCCATTAAGCAGAAGCCAATGCTCAGTGCAAGAGCGTACATGCAGGGAGCATTGGCTTGCTTCTGCCTCGTGGAGATAGCCCTTCAGCAAGTACAACAGGAATGCTCAAGAATTGCATGGATTATGCACTTTGGAAGGGCTGGAGCACTTGCAAATAGTTACTGGAGTGGCTGGGAAGGTGGTTGTACACATCTTTATGCAGGTTGGTCCTTCAATCTCAACCAGAAATCTTGAAGGGTGCCATGAGGTGTGAGGCGATAACCAGGTGTGAGAAGATATATGCAGGATCAGGCTGGTCTCTGCCTGGCCACTTCCCACCCACACGTCCTGGCCGCTCTGCATACGGTAGGAAAGTACTATAATCAAATTAATTTTTAAGTGGGGTACCACTCAATTCAAAGTTATGGAGGGGTGCTTCAAAGTACCTTTGTCTATGAAGGCTGAGAACCACTAGTTTAAGTATCTCAACAGCATTCAGGGACCTTAGTTAAACAGGAGGCACCTGGAGGGAGACTAGAGTGCTGTTTATTAAGAGCAAAGCTCAGGACCTTTTGCCCTCCCCACAGCCTGAAGAATCTCTGGCAGGGAAGGAGTACAGAAGTCAAGTGCTAGTTGCAATTGGGATCAGACCAGCTGCTCTATTCTTCGCAAAGGAAACAGGGCCACAATCCCTGAGCAAGGTGTATGTGGGGAGGGTGAGGGGGGGAAACACTTGGCTTTGCAATTCCTCTGAAGATAGACCGCATGAATTTTGGAGCAGAGGTCTAACAGCAACTCATGAGAGTCCAGTGCCCATTTAATCAAATCAGGATGTGTGAATCCCTGTTACAAGCCCCAACCACAGGTGACCTAGAGGCAGGCCTAAATGTGCCGCAGCAAGGATTGCAGAAACGGCTTCCTTGAAACCTGGGAAGCCTCAAGGCAGGATTAACAGAGGTCACTGTAGATCATTCCAGCTGTGCAGGGTCAGCTGTGACTCCTCAGCTGAACCACAACTGGATTTTCTAGAGCTGAAACGTCTCCCATCTCAGCTTGCTCCAGGCCCTGACTCTATTAGTGCATCATTATACTGCATAATCCACGCCCCCCAACTCCATCACCACCTCCTCCCTCCCATTGTGTTTTCCAAACTGCAGACTGGGAAGGCAGAGTTAGCAGCAGGCAAAATACAACCACCTTATAAATCCAACTCTCCAAACACTTGGGGAGCAGACCTGTAAATTCATCCCCTGAACACAACCTTTACAAAGGAAAGAGAGAACAAAATCTCTATTACACACTTACACGTGCCTATGTGCCTCACTGGCCAACCAATGGGAACTTTTGGCACTAATAAGCCGGCGTACGAAGCACAGCTAATTGTTGAGACAATACGCAGGAGTCAGCTTGCGGCTCAGAGAATTCTCTAGGGAAGCGTTAGCACAATCCCACTCAGAGAAGGGAAGTCACTGGGCAGGTTTTCTATTCTGCTTGGCCCTCCTCTATTTGTCATGCCAGATGCCATTGTAAGACACAGGCAGAGTCATTAATCAAAGGCATTTATTACCTTATTAAACTCAACTGCCTTCACAGATGCTGGACAATGTTTTATGGAAAACCCTACAAAATCCCTACTGGCAGCACTGCTGGAGTCTAACACTAAGTAGCTGGCAACAATGGAAACACCATTTTACCCTTCAGATTTCCACTCGTATGCTTATTTGCAGAGAAGGACAATAGCAAGTGGCTCATTTATGAAAGCAAGCAGCAGAGCACCAACTCCAGTGCACCTGTTAATCTGAACGTGCAACCCTGCTGTCAGGGCCCCTCCCCTTTCCTGGACAGATCCAGTCACTGGCAGATACATGCCTGCTGCTGCAGCTCTAAACAAGGTTGCTAGCTATTCCCACCAGCTATTAAATGGTTAAAGAGATTTTTTTTTTAATGTATTTATTTTATTTTATTTTGTAAACTATTCTGGCCCTTTTGCCTCCTCTGCTTGGTTATGAACTAGAACATTTTGCATTCTGGGAATTAGCGGCTCTGTCAGCAGAGCTAGAAATGCTCCCATTCAAGCAATGCAGCAGATTGTAGAGGCCTGGAGATAGACTTTACATGCCTGTAGAGATTTTTTTTCCCCTGCAATTGATTGACAGTCCCTTTTGTGCATGATGTAATCCAAATGTAAATATACACAGAAATAGCTGAAGGAGCCTTGCATCTAATAGGAGAAGCCACTGTAAAGTAAAAAACAAAAACATGGCAGCAAAATTAGCAGAGACTACTTGGGATAATCCCAGGACTGAGCCAATTTGCAGAACTACCCACCAGGCTTGCCAACCAAGTACGTGGTCTAAGCTATGATTACCTTTATGGCAACCAGATGCAAAGGAAAAAATACAAGCAATGGAACATCTTGTTTGGTGCCAACTTTGGATATAGACAGTCACATCCTCAACTAGTGTAAGCAGGTGCTGCTCCCTGAACTTCATGGAGCAATATCCATCTACGAGTAGGTGCCGATCTGGCCCAGGATGCAGGCATCTGGCAGAAACCTGAGGGTCTATGCATCCTGTGCTGTCAATCCTCTTCTAGCATGCCAGGGTGTCACTACGTAATGCTGAACCAAGACTCCTACTGCTGTAGCTACATTATGCTGTGAAGCAGAGGGAGTAGGAAGGGGTCTTGTTTCCTTTACTGCAGAAGTGATGCCATGGATTAGAGGCGTATTCCATAAGAAGGGTTCGTCTTCCCCCTACAAAAGGCTCATTAGATGCGAGTGGACCAGGTTGGCCAGACAGACCCATTCGAAACAAGGGCTCTGTAAGAACATGGAGCAAAGGCTTGCAACCAAGCCACCCATATTTAATTTGGGAAGAAGCTGAAGCTCCTCCCTCATGTCCCTTTCCTTTGTGAGGGGATTCGCCTCACCTGCAGTATCTGCAGAGCCTATGGCTTCTGTCCACCCTGCAGCCCAAGGCTCCCTTGTTTTGTAATACATTTGCCTTTGTGAATGCCAAGAGTCAGTCAGCTATGCAAAGCAACATGCTTGGCTGAGAATTCAAACCCCTCTGATCTTGTATCTCCCCACCTGGGTGTCAGGTAGTCAAAAACAGAAGAAGCCTCAAGGCTTGCAGAATATCACTCTATGCTTTCTGCCTCTTTGTGGCACCACATGCCTCACCCTAGCAATTTGTTTGCCAGCAGCATCCATCTCCTTGGCTGGTTATTCAGCAGGTGCTAACTTCTGCAGTCCTTTCTCCTAATCGTGATTAGTAAGTTCTTTGATTAAACCAGTCACCTACACCTGCTAGAAGTCCTGCCACCTCTCATGCTGTGCTGTTCATATTCATTCATGTGGGGGACTCTTATGCAAGTATCTTGCGGCACCTTCTGAGTCTGAATATAGACCTGGCTACCAAAGAACCTGGACATAAGCAGCACTTTTGATCAGGAGAGCACCAATCTGTTTGCCAAGATTGGTCTGCACTTAGAAATAGCAGGCCGAGCTCTCCCTTGGAATTGAGAAACGTGCAAAGACCCCCCCCCAAATCATCCCAGGTTGCATTTCCACAGCAAACAGCCTCATCTAGCAAGCAACATCTTCAGCAACCCTGCATGTAAGCATATAAACCAGAAGAGCTAGCCCTGTGCAAGAACCACACTTCCTGCTCAGTGCTGGGGCTGCATCAGACCACAAGCACTTGCTCAAGCAGAGTCAAAATATGTGGAACTTGGTGAGGGGGTGGTCTAAAGATTTGTATGGGGGAAAAAAGAAATGACAGCTCCCTACTCAGAGCATCTGTTCCTTGAGCACAAACTGACTTAATCCCATCCGCTCGGAAAAACTACTACAGCTATGCGCAGTTCACGCTTCAGAAAAGCGTTGATTTATTCCAATGATCGGCCTAAACAAAGTCCCATTTTAGGCCTATGCAGCCACGTGGAAGAGATGAGTGGAAACATGTGAAGTCAAGGTGAGCAGAATGTAGCCAATAGCATCCTCTTTTCAAAAGGTACTTATGTGAGCCAAATCCTGGCTTGGCTTTTAGTTCCCAGGCTGCTCCCCCACCTCAATCCCAAACCAAGCATGCAAAAAAGTACCATATGCTGGCAGACCAGCAGGAGACTCACCAAGAAGGTGAATACTGATTCTATTCAAACAGCTGCTGTTCACAAACACTCAGGTGAGTGCGAGGTTTAGGGAAGTGCTAAGGCTCTGCCATGAAGTTTTCAAGCCTCCTAACAAACACTCCATGGGGTTACCCAGGTCTGGTGGTGTGCAGAGAGGCCTGGGATTACGGCCACCTGGGTTCTAATCACATAAACTCTTCCACACACTTACACCTTGATACCACTTGCTTGCAAAGCAGCAATGACTATGCTTAACCTAACTCCCAAGGAGTGAAAAACAGCATAGACTACAGGTTTTCAAGTCCTTGAAGGGAAAAAAAAGATCAAGTCAGTGTTAAGCAAACATGCATAGGGCTGGGTTCTGCCAGAAGCAATAGAGATACTGTTTCCACACCTGTGGGGAGGCTTCCAAATGCATGTAAGGGACTTAGGAGCGCGAGCCCATTGTCAGTTATCATTAGGAACTGTGCTTTGGAAAGGGCTGTCTCCTCCAACCTCAGAGGCTGGAGTGCCCCAAGCCCACAGTTGTAGGGTCACTTACCCCTTTTTTACCACAGCAGAGCAGGGTCCAGTGTAGG